GAGTGTCGATATGTTCCAGGACCTACGAGAGTCAGATATGCCACCAGATGTTAATGATGCTTGGGATACGTTCATAAACTCAATTAAGCATTCTCTCAGCGATGTTCTTAAATTCCAGGGGGTAATGAGACAGAGTGGCTGGACAATCACTTACGAAGGCACAAATTCGTTCCTCAAGCTTACTTGCACTTCAATCGGACTACAATGGCTGCTCTATGTTATACCCAGTAAATCTGAACCAAGCAACTCGCCTCTTCGACAAATGCTGAGCCGTCCCATTGCCAAAATGACACCAAGAGGCAGCAGCTTGTTTGATGGGACATGGCTAATTGGATCACCGATTAGCTCACAATTTGACCTTCTGGTTGCAGGTGGTGGTGATCTGGTTGATTCTTTGCCAGCCCGATCCGGCTTGCAACATCCAAGCTTTAGAAACTTGAAAACATGGTCTATTCTTCATATTGATGCAAAGACTGAAGAAATGAGAAATTTGGAGATAGACATCCGTGGCGCTTATGAACTGCTGCCTGACTGTGGTGCCGCAAGCGGAAGCTTGCGGAAGCGGCTAAATTCCCCAGGCAGCCCTGTTTATTTATTCTTGGATCCAACAGAAATTGGACCTCATCAGTTGGATTCTTGGGTTTTCTCACTTGAGCATGAGCGGCTTGGTTTTGGACAAGCACGCAATACAATAGCTGAAGTTAGGCCAAATTGGAGCCCATTGTATCTCAGCCATGGTCAAGATATTGTTCCATGTTGGTACCGAAAATGGAGGGAATCTGCGAGTGTTGCGTTGAGTGTCTACCGAATATCGCCACCTCCACAATTTTCCATTCCAGGTCCTTCAGAAGTTCTTGCGTCATGCAGCTGCACCTGTGATGGTTCTTATTCCACTATAATTCAATGCTCAGTTCCAGCTGGCTTGTCAGATTTAGAAATTGTCCCTGGAATGGTGAAGAAGGAGAATTTATTGGAATCTGCTTCCATGCTCAAAAAATTTGGATGGGTATTGCAGAGGGCAATTGGTATTACGCAATTTGAGGACTGGGAAACAGTTCAAATATCCTTTCCTGATTTCAAACTGGACTGTTCAACGTGTGCTCCTGAGAAACCTCGTCTAGCTTGGGCCCTCGATGAAAAAGATCGTGTATATGCATATGAGAACCCAGAAGATGCTGCTTCCTTCGAGAGAAGCATAAAGAGCCGCCCAGCGCCGTTCTTGGGATTTACAACTCTTGATGAAAGCTCGATTCTTCACCTTCAGATTTGCCTGAATGTGTTAAGCCTTCTCCACAGGGCAGCCGGTAACCTGGGTGTTAAAGACAATGTAACTTTGCAATGGCGCTTGTGTATAGACACAACAGGGTTCATCCCCCGTCGACTACTCAAGCTTTTGGAAAAGAATAACAAATTGGATGCACCTCACACTCAGCCTCCAAATTTTAGACGACATTATTTACGGCCAGAACAACTACGTTCACTTCAATGGATGTGCAATCAAGAGAGCGATCATGCCCCAGTGTTTGTGGAAGAGGAAGTGGTTGAGGCTCTTTTACCAATCATTAACTGGAGGGCGGAAGGCAAAGCATCAACAGAGAAGATGGTCCTCGGGGGAATCCTTGGAGACGAGGTTGGATATGGAAAAACCGCAATATCACTTGGGCTTATTGACGTACAATACGAAAAAGATGGTGCTACTGTTCCAGCGTCTGTCAATGGCCGTATTCCGATCAAGGCAACTATGATTTTGGTTCCTAGCCACCTCTTTGACCAATGGAAGAGAGAAATACATAAATTTTTAGGGAATACCTATAGGATTTTGGAAGTCAAGACGAACTTCTCGCATGGTTCTACTACCATCCGTGATTTCGAGGAAGCCGACATTGTCTTGGTATCTACATCGGTTTTGAAAGGAACTGCATACTATACTATGATGGAGTGTTTTGCTGCTGCTCCCGAGCTACCCAAAGGAGAAGGCCGAATATTTGTTGAATGGCTTCATGATGCCCTTGGTTCATTATCCGAACAAGTAGATCGACTTCTTACTTCCGGCGCCCTCTCAGTCTTGAAATACATCGAAGATAGAAAAGAGGGGCTTCGGCAAGGGAACGGCCTATCTAAGTACAAGCCTTCGAGGCGATTGAAAGGGCAAAAATTTCAAGAACATCTTCAGAAGATGCGTCAAGCTGCCGGTATCACTGACCATGAAACAACAGTGAAGGATACGGCAGATGGAAATGTCGATTCTATTGATTCAGCTGTTGAACTAGGAAAACGAAAGCGAGAAGCCTCCCCAGTTGGTCAAGTTATGGAGATACAACAGGAGCCCAAAAAACCAAAAAAGGCTGCACAAACCCGCAAGGATGGGGGAAATATTTCTGTTGAAATATTCCATCTCTGCCAGTCAAGTACTGACTGGAGAAAAGTCCGTTCTCCCCTGCTACATATGTTTGAGTTTAACAGAGTCATTATCGATGAATTCACATATTCAAAAGACAGAAACTATGCAGCTGCCCTAGCTATCTCATCGAGGAAGAAGTGGATTCTGTCCGGAACTCCCCCGCTAAACAATTTTGCTGATGTTAAGTCTTTTTCTCCCTTCCTCGGTATTAACTTAGGTATCGATGAAGATGACGGCCGGAAAGTCGAGAACGAGAGATTGCGGACTATTCAACGCGAGAGAACAGGTGTGACAACTGTATCATAGGCTCTCAATTATAGATTGCTAATGTGAACAGAGGTGGAACAATTCCAGCCTTTAGTTACCCGACGGAGTACTGTCTGGCATGAGAGGAGACATCAGATCGCTCAGGGGTTCTTGGACCAGTTTATGAGAAAAGTGAGTCTCCTTTATTTAACAATATGAGTATATGCTGACTTGAGCAGAACATACCCGATATAGATGATATTCCCTGGACCGAGCATATAATTGGCGTGTCCCTATCAGCAGCTGAGCGTGCAGTCTACCTTGAGCTCTTCATGCAGTTAATGTCACAGAACCTGAGGTTGAGAAAACATGGACGCGGGCTATACGACTCCGAAGAGATAGCCCGTCTAGATGAAATCATTGGAAATAGCAGTAGCCCGGAAGAGGCATTGTGCAAGCGCTGCTCACTGTTTGTCTACAATGACCCTCTTTCTTCCTCTGACTCTGCATCACCGGAGGAAACAAATGAGATGAAACTGGTGGATGACAACCCTCTCATCCATACTAGGCGCAAACAAATAAGCAGTCTTGCGGCAGACATTATGTCCAGAGTAAGAAGGGGTCTTTGGCTCCGTGGCCAGCTAGACGAAGGCACAACGCATTTTGATAGGTTGTTGGAAAGTATCGAGCAGGATAGGTTTGGGGATTTACTGGTTACTGCTGGTATCAAAATGCTTTTAAAAAGAGCCAAAGCAATATCTGATTCTAACGATGGCAGCATGTTCTACCTTGCGACACTTGAAGTAAGTAAAGCCTTCAATTTGAAGCCATCCATAACGTTTCTCGGTGCTAACTTCTCTAGAAAAAGAAGAACCCAGACGACCCGAGACCTGAATTCCCAAAGAACCAAACGGAGCTGATCAGTGATCTTAATTACTGTACAGACAGCTTGCGTCGGCTAGTTTATGAAACAATAGCTCATACTCGGGCCTTACGGCTATATCATGCTGTACAATGCTTCCAAGATCCTCCTCCAAGCTCAAAGTTCATTTGCTATAGCTGCAGTTCAGAGAGGGAAGATCCTCGGTCACTCTCTATTTTAGGAGAATGCGGTCATAGTGCATGCGAATCATGTATTGAGCGTTGCCAGCTTCATGAAAGATGCTTACTAGAGGGATGCAGCGGAACGGTCCATGAATATCGGATCATCAAGTGGACTGACTTGTGCCACCCCGAGTGGCATACACAAACAGACAAGTTGGCAAAATATGGCAGCTCAAAATTCACAGCAGTTATCGAGTTGCTTGAAGATACAGAGAAAGTCCCTGCGGATGATCAAGTTTTGCTCTTCATTCAATTCCCTGAGTTGATGGATGCAGCATCAAAGGCACTGGAGGCTGCAAGCATACCGCACACCGTTATTCAACCTGGAGACCGCACTCCAACCAGTAAAATTTCTGAATTTCAGAATGGCAAGGAGTCAGTCAAAAGCAAAGTTTTGATATTGAATCTTGGAGATGTTACTGCATCAGGGCTGTAAGTAGTCCCAATGTCATTGAGATATAAACACATAGCTAATTAGTGGTACTTTAGGAACCTACAAAATGCAAATCACATCATATTTTTTGGCCCCTTGGTTGCCCGATCACAGTATGACTATGACTCCGGGATGGCCCAAGCAATTGGACGCTCACGACGATATGGTCAACTCAAACATGTTCATATTTACCATGTTCTGGCCCTGAGAAGAGTGGAAGTAAATATTTTTGAGCAGCGCAGGAAGCAGTATCTTGCAAAAAGGGGGGATCGGTTTATTACAGTCCAGAAGAGCGAGATCGAAGAAACAGACAAGATCGATTGGAAAGGGTTTCCGTTGGAAGGGTCAAACGCAGAGAGCTATCAGGATGATTTTGACGATAAGTAGAGAATTGCCGATTCTATGTCTTTGTATGTGTTCCATGCTATAGAAGCCCATATTCTGATACCTCTTGTCTTGAGTCACAATCGAGCCATGTTATACGTTTACTTTTTACTCTACATAATCCGTGTGACGGCCTTTTCTTTGTGAAAGACATATTATATTGTCCAACATCTGTTATGAAAACATATTGGTAGCACATGAATTTAGATAATCTTGTCAATTAAGTCCCCGTCTATTTAAGGGCCCACTGCAAGTCGAAGGCAAAGTATATGACTGCATAACTGACCGGTACAAGATACTGTACAAAAAATTGAAAAGAGTAGAAAAGCAGCATGAGAAGCAGAATCGCCTACTTTCATCTAGGAAGATTCGGCCCCCATAATGCTCATCATGGTGTAATAAAAACACTCCTGGTCCGCACCTCATCCCAATTTACAATTCCCCGTCTTTTCTCAAGGTCTCATTTCCCCACAGTGGCTCCGTCAAGCTTGTCAACCCAGCGCTGTTTTCACAAGTATGTCTGCCACTCAAGGGTCCTGGTGGTGGAACCTTTACGCTGGGCTGTGTTCCATTCTCAGCAGCAACGGCACTAGCTTTGAGAGCATCAAGTAGCTGGATAGTGGATTCGGGTGTGAGATCCTCGTAGTAGTCGTCGTTGATCTGAACCATTGGCGCATTCACGCAAGCCCCGAGACATTCGACTTCGAGAACGGTGAAGATGCCATCTGGGGTTGTTGCACCGTGCGATGATACGCCGAGATGCTCCGTTATGGCCTTGACGATCTTGTCACTTCCACAGCCGCCGAGCTGGCATGGTGTCTACGCACGCATCAGTGTTAGAAGAGGAGAACGTCAAATAATGTCTATACAAGGGAATGGAAGACGTACGGTAGTACATATCTGAACAAAGTACTTTCCGACTGGCTCACGGTTGTACATGGTATAAAAGGTAGCAACCTCGTATACTCGCATGGGTGGCATCTCCAGCATGCGTGCAACCTCGTTCATCACGCTGATGCTGGTATATCCGTGCTGCCGCTGTCCAAGGTCCAATAGAGGCATGACGGCAGCCTTCTTATACTGGGGAGGATAGCGCTTAAGGATCTCGTCGATGACGGTAAGGTTTTCCTGGGAGAACTTGAAAGGAATGGTTGGGTTATTGGTAGGAGTGTTTCGGTGCTAAATCCCCGGAATCCAGACATCAGTATCCATTGAACTTCGTCATTGCGCACACTTTCCCAGTCGAGTGGGCTGAAGAAATTCGGATCGCAAATCAGGCACTTACGACGTGGAGAACATCGCTCATGAGGGGCGATGCGGTTGTGAATGTTCGACATTGCCGCGAAGAGAACTGTGGGAGAGACTGGCGGCCGGCCTGCCGGAGGGTGAAGGGGAGTATTTTGGAAGCCATCCCAGCAGACAAAGATCAAGACAACTCTCAGAAGGCCGCTGGACGGTGCAGACGCAGACAATGGCTCTCCTCGCTGCTGTTCTGTGCTCGAAGACGATGCTTGCGGTCGACGTTGAAGTTGGTGATGGACGATGTCGAAGAAACATGGGCGTCGCTTTTTGTCCCAGCCAATCAGCGTGCGTAGAATTGAAATCCAGCAACATCTCCATTTTTTTTTTTTTTTTTTGCTGTTGCGAAGAATCAAGAAAAACATGAGAAATCCGCCATATTCGGCGACCATGCGGTTTACAGAGGGAACTCAGCAGAAAGGATCGGTTTGATTGAAGATACTAAGTATTTAACTACCTAAAAATACTGGTTGATAAAGAGATTCGTTATTCATCGCAGGCCCATGGACAGACGTGATGATTTAACTAGAGGCCGACGACTTCCAGGCCGCTTGGGATCTTTGCCTCATACTCAAGGACGAGTCTGATATCGACCGTCTTCTGCAGAGTGATCACCCACTTAACCTCGCCGTCTTTGTTAATGTGGACGGTGCCTTTACCCCAGTCCTTAGCCCTCTTGGGGTCGATGGAAACATCAGCTCCGATCTTTGCAGAATCTCCCTTGTCAAGCCCCTTTGGCTCAATCAGGCGGACTCGGATCCGCTCATCTTCGCTGACGGGGATTTGATCCAGGACGACCAGGGATACCGGCGAAGACTTGGTGTTGTTGATTCGGCAGACACGTGTGAAAATGGCACAGTCTTCCTTATTGAAGTAGCCCGTTGTTGCGCGTCTGACCTTGGGCTTGGAGTATATCACTTGGATCGCCGGGTCAACTCCAAGGTTGAGGTTGAATGGCACTCCAGGGTTGCAGTTTGGAATAGTAGCCTTGCCCAAGAAAGCATCATCGACAGTTAGACCAGCCTTCCCTCGAAGGAGAGGTGTGGTCGACGTATTCGTCACTCTCGCCTTTAGGAAAGCCGCTGGCTTCAACTTTGGAATGATCACATGCGAAAAAGTCATGGAGGAGAGCTCAATTTCCGCAATTATATGCCGTCTGACGTGAGAGGATGGCTGCAGGGTACGTGATCCAGGCACGTTATATGTGGTGGTCAGTCCATAGTCGTGACGAGACGACTGCCTGAATGCAAGAACATTGGATGATCCCTGGATGGTTGATGCATCGTCATCTACCTGATCATCATCGTCGTCAAAATCTTCGTCTTCATCATTATTAGCTCCACCAGGATGGGATGCTGCCGCATTCCCAAAACCGAAAGCAGAGGTGCGTTGGTCGTTGTTAGCTGAACCACCGAAAAGTTGATAACGCGGTGCACTATGTGCGTGGACTTGTTGCATCATCTGCTGTCCTTGCGCCTGGTGTACTGTCAGCGATTGTCGTTCAGTTTCGTTGGCTCCAAAAGGTACCGCGGAACCGAATAGCCCGCGTGCCACGGGTGGAGGTGCCGCGGGCAGCGGTTGTGTGGAAGAGTTCGTGGGCCAGGGAGGAGGATAGCCTACCGGCGCATTGTCATTCATAGACTTTAACTTTCTATGTTGTTTTGCTTCGACGCCTTCTGCACTGGCTCTCAGCGCTCCAGTCCAGTTGCTCATCTTTTTAGAGGGCATTGTGTCTGTTGCAACTTCTAACTCCATTACTTCATGTTTCCTGAGCGCCACATTCCATGGTAACAGAGTAGGGATATGTTCATCGACTCCTGAGAAGGTCGTCTGAGATGTGGAGAGAATAACGTTAGTATCTTTCCAGGTCTCACAACTCCTGTTGTAGTATTCGGCCCGATAGACCAAGCTGCCAGATGAGGTTGGCGTGCTTAGCATCAGGTCATATCGTGGAGTCCATCGAGCAACCGAAGTAACGTATGTCAACGATAGAGTTATGTCATCGTTGATATCAGGCTTCTTGACGGAGGAGGCTGAGTGTCTTCTGTCCTCAGGCAGAGTCCCGTCGCCATGCCCTTCAATATGAACAGTAACACGGCCGGTATAGATATTCCAGAAGGTCGAGATATCAGCTCGGGCCTCTCGCTTTTTCTTCTCTTTCAATTCCTTCTCTTTCAACTTGGCCTTCCTCTCCTTACGCGATGGCTTTGCAGCGCGGTCTTTCTCCGCCTCGAATCTTTCCTCCAGCCGCTCTTTCTTCCGCTCTAATTTCTCTTTCTTTTCATTGAACTCGGCAATCTGCACCTCCGCTTTCTCATAAGTCTCACGCAAGTCGGCTCGTTTTTTCTGGTAGACGTCGATATATTCTGCCACTTGGGCGGCTTCAAGATCCTTTGCATGCATGCTCCTACCATAGGAATCAAGAAATGCTAGGGACTGAGTCGATGATACCTTGTCGTTATCAAGATAAGCAAGTTTGGCAGATATTTCCTTGATCTCAGCTATGACTGAGTCCAGCTCTGACCTGTCGACACCAAAGGTATCATCTGGGTCTTCTGAGTCAATTTCTTCTCCTGTGCTGTCATCATCAGGATAAAGATCATCGAGATCCTCGTCACGAACAACGACCGAGGTCTGGATATCAGTGATAGTGGCAGGCCCATGGCCAGTAACTCGAAGCGAGTCAAAGTCGACTCTATTATCAAAACCAGAAATGATGATCTTGTTAGGGCCAGCCTATTATCCATTATTAGTAACGCATCGGACGAGAGCATGAGGGATCCATCAGTTATTTACAAGGGGTATTGACTTACTTTAATCGGCACATCAGCTAATTCACGAACAATGGTAGCCCGCTCCGGAGCAAGCGTCACGGTCTTTGTGGGAGTGCCCTGAAGGGACAGCTCGACGGTGTTTACCTCGTATGACGACATGGCTATAAGCCCGTATGAGTTTACTGGGACTTGCAGGAGAGTAAATAGCAACCGTTTCTGTGTTTGATGCGCTTCAATACTTGATGTGTGCCGATACAGCTGCTGGAGCAGGCAGAAATGGGAAGAATAGGAAGAGGAAGATGATGAAGAAGAAGAGTGTAGGAGCTGAGATGCAGCAGAAGGCGCTCGCTTATATACTTACCCCCAGTGGCTGATGCGGCTCAACACTGCTGCCTTGAGGTTTAGATACGGACTCCACCAATAATCGGCTTCACATGGGGAACACTCTTCACCGAGTTCATGGAATGAATTTCCAGCGTCACACTACAACGTATAGAGCATCTCAACTAGATTTATTTATTTCTCTATTAATTAGTTATTCTGTTATTTTTTATTTTTATTTTTATTATTTTTTGCCCGAATTTATTGTTTATTTTTTACATTTTTTATACTGTTTAAACTTTCAAAATTGAGTTTACTCACGATGACATAATTACTGGTATGACGTAATCAACTTTACCTTCACGTGACGGGGTTCTCAGGCAGCAAAGCCCATCTGGTACATTTTTGAAACAGGGCTAGTCTGTATGAGCTAATAGTTCATCGTATATTTTGATCAACCCTATAGCGCTCAGCTAGCAGTATATCATTTTAATTATTTGGCACGCTTTCTACCATATCCTTGTTACTCCTGTTTGCTCGTAGGTGTTATGCCAGGATGCCTATGACGTAATTATTACATAATAGAGATCATCAGTCACGTGATAGATATCAAACCTTAACTGCCTCGCGAAATCGATAAGAAAAAAAATATCGAGATGAGCCTGAAGGTCACAACCGCTACGAACTCCTTTTGTTAGATACTCCTCTTTATCTCCTCTCTATATCCGGTTAAATGGTACATGACCTTGACTTTTTTTTATGATATAATTATTAAATACACATTTCCAATATTCGAATTTGCTCAACACATCAAATATTTTGCATAATCTACACGATAAACTGTGACTCAGCCCGCAGATTATTATTGAAAGCTCCTCCAACATATACCCATATTCTCCAAATTATTCAAGGATCGATTTAACTTGACTTTTAAACATTACAGGGGGTTTCTGGTCGCGGTCACGGCTAAATCCACTGTTTTTCGTGCTCTTTGCTCTTTTTTAGAGCGCTGCAAGGGGCCTGCAGTCAGGTTACAGAGCACCGCTACCAGCCCATTGCCGCTGGGTGATAATATAGTAACCATGCCCGAAAAGATAGACCACCAGATTGATAGAAAGGTTACTCGGATATTTCCCGTCCATAGTTTTTCAGAATGCTCGCCGTGTCAAGATATTCTTGAGAAATGGGCCGCACACGTGGACAAAGGCGGGCCAGAAGTAACAGCCCTTCTCGAGGCTGCTAAAGCAATACGGACTAGTGATATCCCTGTAGCCTTTCCGACTGAGACAGTTTATGGGCTGGGCGCAGACGCAACTCGCAGCGGAGCTGTTCAAGGAATATACAAAGCAAAACAGCGGCCCTCGGATAATCCGCTGATCGTCCATGTCAGCTCTAGGGATCAACTAGAAAGACTTCTCGTGGACCCTAAGCAATCAAATGGGGCTATCAAATGTCATTCTACGTCACCTATTCCAAAAATCTACGAACCATTAATTGAGAGATTTTGGCCGGGGCCTCTAAGCATTATACTCCCCAACCCATCCCATTTGCCTTTAGCTCCAGAAGTTACTGCAAACCTCCCGACTTTTGCTGCACGGATGCCTTCATCTCCTCTTGCACGACTACTTATTGCACTTGCTGATAGACCAGTGGCTGCACCGTCTGCAAATGCGTCTACAAAGCCTTCTCCAACTACTGCACAACACGTATTTACGGATCTCCAGGGACGGATAGAAATGATTTTAGACGGCGGGCCATGTGGAGTGGGCGTTGAAAGTACGGTAGTTGACGGACTCAGTTCACCTCCTGCTATTCTTCGACCTGGTGGAGTTGGAATTGACGAGCTACGAACTTGTCCGGGATGGGAGGATGTTCAAATCGGATATAAAGACGGGGCTCTACAAGGCAAAACTGCTCCTCGGGCACCTGGAATGAAATATAAACATTATTCCCCCAAAGCAAGAGTCGTTCTTTTCGAACCTGGCCAAAACCCCGCCTCTGTTATGAACAGAATAATTGCAGATATTAATAAACAGCCTGAGTGGGCAAATGAATCAGCTGCTATTGGTGTCGTCCGGACGAAGACCTGGAAGAAAGGTTTAGGAATCTCTCATGTATCGTTATCCAATGGTGAAAGCTGCGAAGCTACGACCCCCGCTATAGGTTCAATCCTCGATATACCTATTGAATGCGACTTAATTAATGCGTCTTCACACCGTATCAATATGCTTGATATTAATTTGGGGCAAGACACCTCATCAATTGCACGGGGTTTATTCTCTGCCCTTCGCAGCCTTGATGAGAGGAATGTACCTGTTATTTACGTTGAGGGAATATCAGACACCGAAGGGGATCTTGCAGCCGCTGTGATGAATCGCCTACGAAAAGCAGCAGAGGAAGAAGTTAAGGTGTCCCATTGAATAGAGGAGGTGGAAAATACACGGTTACAAAGGCACAGTGGGGAATTATAGGTTAAAAAGCAGTTAAAAATATTATTTGACCGGTTGGTTTGCATATTATGGGAATAGACGCAAAGAATATACTCCACGGCGTAATGATACTCGTTATTTAACCTTTTCTCAAAACCTATCTATATAATGCATATGCTAACATACGAAAATGCAAGGCCTGTCTATTTCTTTTTACCGCCTTTACCTGGCTTCTTCCCCTTGCCTTTCCCTTTGTTTTCCGTGTTCTTGGGTCCAACACTTGCACTCGAGCCGGCAGCACCAGCCACGGAAACTATAGTGAACCCGCCAACAGGCAACGTATTCATGACCTCAACATCCCTCCAGGCTTTGATGCAATCTAGCTCCATAGAAAGCAGCTCATTCGCATCTTCGGCTTTCTCATCAGTTTTCTCGCTCGTCTCCTTAGTTTCGTCGGGGTCGCCCGTACGTGCGGCTGGTTTCTTCCCACTGGATCTTGACTGTAAAACAGTTGCATCGTGAATCCATTTACCAAGGATATCTTTAACTGCTTTTCCCTTCTTGATCTTTCCAGGTTGCAATTTTGCGCGGTACTTGTACTGTCCCAGAGCTGCCCAAGGAGCGCACACGGGGATGGCGGCTTCGATCTCATCGCCGTCCACAGGAGTACCGACCAGAGCTGGGAGTATCGAGAAATCAAGCTTATGCTCTTCTCCAGAAGCATCCTCGACGGAGTTTCGTGTAAAAGCCTCTTGCTGGCGTTTTACAGCCTGCAAAGCGCGTTCATGTTGGGCTCTTCGTCGTTCTTTTTGTGCTTCACGTTCAGCTTCAATATCAGCCTTCGTTTTTGGTTTGGTGGTGGGAGTTGAGGGCCCAGCAGCGGATCCTGGTAAACGGAGCGCCAGTTTCCTATCTTCTTCATCTTGATCTTTGTATTTGGTAGCCAGCTTCTTTGCCTTTCCTCGCTTACCGCGGACTGGTGGTTTGGATTTCTGCGTCCCTGACGAGCTGATAACTAACGGTGTTGATGCTCGTGACTCCTGAGTGGCAGAAGGAGTAGCCAATCTAGATTCATCGTCAGACTCTCCAGAATCCTCGGTCTCCTCTGCATTCTTAGATGGACCTTCTACAGGCTGATTTTCTGCCTGTGAAGCCTCATCCTTGTCTGCTTCAGTAACTTGCGCTGCACTCGAATCCAAGGAGTCATCAACATGTATAGATTGCATCTGTTCTCCTAGGGGCGCAACCCTCTCATCACTTATATCCTTTTTGGCATCCTCGGACTCTACCTGGTGTTCATCCTCTTGCTCTAGAGGAACGTCCTCTTCTTGATCCGACTGGTTAGCTTCAGGCTGGTCCATATCGGCGGTGCTGGAAATCGGCTCCTCATTAGTTACACCACCCTCTGGCGCAGACAGTTGAGATTTTGTGTGGTTCTGAACACTCCGATTCGAAATTTGGAATAACACGGCAAATCCGAGTACTATCTGTCCAGGAGGAATGTGATTTTTCTCGCCTTTTATCATGAAATGACCGGCCTTGAGGATGTCACCCGTAGAAGTCATCTTCGACACTTGTGACGCATGAACCCACCATCCTCCCATGGCTGCCTTGGTATCCCAAGCCTTTGATGAAGCTACAGTGTATGCACTTGCCTGTGAGATTGTGTTCGGGGGTATGGGGTCATCGGGGGCATCGGGTTTATTCTTGACAATCAATGGAACGCCTCCATCCAAGTCGGTATGCACATATATATCTCCCTTTTTCATGTATCGTTGAAAAAGTATCTCATCTTGCTGATGGTCCCTCCCCCTATGATGTACATCAGTATAATGGTACCAGATAACTATTAGAAGATCATGTGTTTCTACTTACCCTATAACGAGATAGCCATCTGAGGAAATGAAAAAGAAAAACTTCTCAAACCACGTTGGGTTTCTGGTCCGGCGTAGGACCGGCTTTTCCTGCTTCAAAGCCATCTTAAGGTCTGCCTTAACCTTCCTCTCAGTGCTTTTGATGGCCTTTGTGGAAGCCTTCAGCGTCTTCTCTTCCTTCACAGCCGCAATTTTCTTCTCATCATAGTATTGTCGGGCATTGGCCCAAGGAGAAATTCCTAGGTCGATATCGATACTTAGCCGGGTATCTTTCTTCCCTTTCTTCTCCTTTAGGGGTTTCGCCGAGTGTTTCTTCTGGCTGGGCCTCTCATATTCATCGTCGCCATACCCATCATCATCATCATCCTCTTCTTCTTCCTCAGACTCGTCTTCCTCTTCTTCCTCGTCATCTTCAGTTCCCTCTTCATTCAATAACACAGTTATTGTATTTTCGTAGAGTTTAAGAGGCAGTTTGATAGACTGGGCAACAGGATTGCCCTTCCCCTGTTCCATCTCGATCAGCCTAGCAATCTCGACCCAGTCCATACCCTGTGCCACTAGACCATTGACAGCATTCATTGCTTCCTCTACCTGAGGTAAATTTGTCTCGATAGCACGAGCTTTTCGAACATGAAATTCTTGTTTTTCCTTCAGAGCATTAACCCTCTTCTCATGTTCTCGTTTAGTACTTTCCAGTTTCTTCCTTGCAGCATCTTCTTTCTCTGTCAAGCGAGATTCGAGTTTTCGAGCTTCTATTGAAGAGAAGTATCTATCGACGGCACTGTTGAAATTTTCAAAGCGAAGTATAGTTGTGTTTGGGGCTTCTTTCGACTGACTAGGTTCAAAGGGGTGGAAATCTCTAAATTCAGTCACAGGTGCCGTCTGTGTGCCACCCCCGACATCCGAAGCTGCGGGTGCAACGTTCTTCGCTATAATATAACCGGCCTGTTGGGTATCAGAGGACAATGCGGTATTGACTCGATCTGCCTCTTGAAGTACCTCCATGAGTTTCTGAACCAAATTATTGTCCGTCAATATTTGCGCTGGTTGAAGCTTTGAATCAAACCCGACTACATTGAAGGCATGGTCAAGGAGTGTAGGTGGGTATTCTGGGAATCCGAAGTATAAACTGCGCTTTAACGCCTTCGAGACGTTATCTTGTTCAAGGGCCGACTTGAGCCTTTCGATGGTCAACGGAGGTATGCCATTATAATTCAGCTTGCTCTCCAATCTGTATGTCATGCCGATTTTCACCTCCTCTATATCGCTTCCGGGGGCAACCTGACGCAGAAGGGCAACGATTCCATACTTTGCGTCTGTCAAGATAAGATTCCCTGCTGCGAAGAACTCGAGGTATAGCCGGAACAGGCCATCACTAATCTCAAACTCAATGATGCGGTCTGTTCCTATCTGGCGGACACCGGTGATTCGTCTAGTTTTGAGGAGTTTTCGGAGCCGGCTAACCAAATGAGAGGGCGCATCTGCGGTCGTGCGTGATGACTCCGTAAGGTGACAGTGGAACCCAGCGTTGATAATAAGCTGCTTTTTTATATCGGGGAGGGCGAGCTTGAAAAGGAATGTGCGCTAGTTACCCAGTATATTAGCAATCAGAGCTGAAAAAGGATTCCTCCAAGGCTTTGGGGTTTGAGCATACTCCGGAGATATCATAGATGTTTGCGATTCTCAGGCCAAGGATATTGGCGGAGAGCTCACGGCTTATGACCTACGAGTAGTTAGCATAGAAGATATAGGGGAATATAGTGGTGAGTACCTTTACATCCAAGGAAGAATATCTCTGCTTCATTGTTAATTATGTCTGCTCGTCGTAGTTTGCGCAAAGAAACGCCTTTGGTACCAATCGATGAGCAACCACATTGAACAAAATAAATATTAGTTAAAAGTGACGTAGGCGGGGCTGACAAAGCACACGACCAAGTTGATACCGAATGAAGAGGATCCTAGCAAGAATTCACCATATAGATCTAAGATCTCTAGATAGATTTTGATGATGATGTGCAGGAAGTTAGAAACTCTCTTGTGGTTCTTGTGGCCAAAATTAAGATAGTGTAGAAGGGAGTGGGCCAAAGGAGACAGAATATCAACCAAACATGCCCGAGGGGCACATAATTATAGCCGTTGACAAACATACACGCACTTTTGTGCGAGGAAACATGTGGAAAAAGACATTCATTCAGAATCAGCCGTTACGCCGTTATGCCCACCAAATGATAGAGCGTCAAAAGAGAAACAGTACACAGGCAAAGAGAAAAAAAATCTATGCCGAACCTCCTCAAGTCATGAAACACAGAGACAAAGACGAAAATCAGTGCAGAGTTGCTATTATAGACCCTGTCGTAGCTGTTCTGCAAGCCGTCTTTTCCCAAACTCCCAGGCGTTCAACAGTCCCTGCTCAGACAGATCAATGTTCTTCATGTTTGGTGCATCCTGAGCAGGAGCCTTGCTGACACGGGAGGCAACCTGGACAGGGTCCGTCTCTAGGATAATGCCGTCATCAATAATCTCGTCAATTGCAAGGGAGACAAGGTCGTAGTTCTCGATAATGGTGCGCTTATCCGTTGAGCCCCTATATACGTCAGTTAGCTATCTTCACACCTCTTTTGTGTAATGGCGAGCCAATGCATACCCTAGCAGTATACTGAGCGAGTCTCTGAGAGTAACAAAGACATTATAGAGCATGACTTCGTTCTCTTCTGCGCTGCCCACGACGTAAAGCATGACATCGCCCTCGAACTTGAAAACGACAACACGGTTGTCGTACAGTATTATATCGCTCGACTGCTTGTTCGTCTTCTCCATCAGGCCCTTTTCGAACGACTTCTGGTCTTTAACGGCTGGGTAGGGGTTTGCACCGGGGTAGTCTGTCGAGTCCGCTGCCGCGCCAGCTGGGGGGTGCGGCGCAGAGTAGTACTTTGCGAATATCCGCGAGCAGTCGTCGGTGGCCATGATCAGGACCGCATTGACGGAAAACAATGAGAGCGGAGCGAGCATCTTGACTCGGTGTCTGCAATCTTTCCTTTGTCTTCGGCTTCTTTTCTTCTGGTCTTCTTGTCTTGTCAACGGCTTGTCTGGTTGTTCGTTGCTTGTTCGTCTTCGACTTGTTGGCTTCAAGGTGTATCACGTGATATCAACTTTGCCCCAGTTGAGCTACAGGGAGAAAAATAACACGAAGACGATGACGACGAGAAGGACGGACGAGTTGATAGTGGAATACGTGCTTGTTGTATAATTCTTATTACTATACCTGCTATAGTAAAATAATACCTATATGTATAGCTGGATACACCACGGCTGCAACGGTTATGTCTACTATGCCGTTATCACAGCTTCTACATTTCGTGTCACACTGCAATGGATGGACTAGCTACCAGGTTGGCTATAGCAGAAGCCTGATTCCATCAATATGAAAAGGGTTTTGTCAATGTCCCCGGCCTGCTAGTTCCAGGCATCTGTTACATGCCCTTGAGCTATCCAAGACTGCACTCAAGACAGCCTTTGCGGCCTCTTCTTCATCCCCCCTGAATCCGCCGGCATATCTCCTCAGCCTGTCTGGATGCCATCTCAGCTTCTCCTGCACCATCTGCGCTTTCAGTGCGTTCAACTTAGCCCGTGAAGCTCCCCGGATCCGGATATCAAACACTATACCCTCCCGTGGCTCTTCAGGGGCAAGTGTCTCTCTCCTGATACTATCTGCATGCACATAGGTTGGATACAGACCAAAGGCCTGCACGAAGAAACAAAAGGCATTCCACTTCCTGAGCTGAAAAATATCCTCGCTGATTTCCTTCGGTAATCGGCGGTGTTTCATGAGTCCGCGGCTTGGTTGGGAATTTCTGGATAGAGGACTAGACTTGAGGCTGCTAGTCGGCCATGGTATGGTCGAGTGTTGACCATTTGATGTGTCCTTTGTGTCAAACACTGCTTTCCACGCAGTGTTATACTCCTCGATAGCCACCCTGGATGAGCTTGGAGTTGGGTTGTCCGGGCTAGGCTGCCTTGTCTGGCCTGTATGTACTCTTCCACTGAAGTTGTGAGTCCGGGGTCCTTGCTCCCACTTATTCTCCCAGTGAACATGCATCTCCTTCGCAAGGTATTCCATCATCTCCGCAACAGCACCGCGTAGGCGCTCAAACTCGAGTTTCTCACATCTCATCATCCCTTTCAACTCCTTAACCTCTTCTTTCAGTCTCTTCACGGTTTCATGTAGAGATTGATCCGCATCATCTTCCTTCTCCCCGGCACTCTCGCCCACATTCTCAAACAATCCCCCTAGACCTGACTCCTGGTGGCCCCCCATAACCGTCTCAGTACCTTCCATCTCCTCTGTACTTGACACTTCGTCTTCTGCGTCTACTTCATCCACGTACTCCTCACTGTCCTCGTCAACAGACATATGCTCGCTGGCACTCGTCTCCCCCCAGCCCGGTACATGTCCATTCATATAACGGGGAGTACTGTTAAACTGCGGAGCGAGAGGTTGCTGGAAGCTCAACGGCACAGTCCTTCTACCCCCTTCATTCAAGTCAACAAAGACAAAGGGTTCTGTGGTATAACTCCGTCTCCAAGATGGTGTATCGAGCGGAGGGGGCGGAGGGGGGCCTGGGTCGAGTACATGGCAGATATCAACAAGTGTTGGAGTGTTGGTTGGCTGTATCCAGCTGGTAGCGATCGGCCGTCTCCCTCCGTGGTGATGCCGTCGTTTATAAAACGAAGATGGGTGTCTTGCTGAAATATAATCCTCCAAACCTGGTAGTCCATCCCACATCGTTTGCCTCGCTTCCATTTTAAATAGTATCTTCTTTCGTTCAGGGGTTGTCTGTATCAAAGTGTGTTCAATATGGCCTGCGAAAGAGCGATGCGATGAATGTTTGAACCGGCATACGTTTTATGAGCAGCTCTCGAAAGGACAGATTTACGGCTACATGCCAATTTACTACAATGCAGCCTTATTGTTTGCTCAAGTCACACTCAAGTACGACTTGTGTAATGTCAAACAACGCCCGACCCGACTCAGCGGCTTCGAAAGGCGCCGTCTATTGTGGCACCGCATCAATACATGTTTTATCCATCATACATGTATCTACAAGGAACGGATGCTTCTGCCGGGCAAAGAAGACGAGAACTGCCGTTTCATTTTCCACACATTGTCTTGGGAATGTGCGCAGTAGGTGTAGGTAATATGCAAAACTGATATACCAAGAAAGTAACGTGCCATACGAATGGAAGCATGAAAGGCAATGCGGTGCGATGAGATGCAAGACCAGCAACCAACGAGAAGGAGGATGGGGGGGGAATGGGCATGTCATGGGTATAGATATAGGTAGATCGAATTGCGCAGCCGAGCTTGCATTGCAGTCCTGAGTCAAAGGCATTAGACAAGATAATATTTTTGTGAAATTGGCATCAGGGGGGAGGGAATAGGACAAATGAAAGACGACAAAGAGAAAAAAGGGCTAAACAAGGAAAGTAACATAGTAAATGACATAAAATCGGGGGATATCTAATACACTATTTCGAAATAGATCTTTATCTCAGGTCAAGACGAGGTAAGGCATAAATCAATAGTGACTGCGTGGATAGATGGATGGACAGAAAGGGATCAAGATGACGGCCGCGAGTTGCTGGAATCAGACATCGTGAAGCTGCCGCGGTTGAACCATCCTGCCCAACTGCCTCTATTTGCCTTCTTGCGGGCAGCTTCATCAGTCAGGGGATCGGCATCCATCTCCTGGTTCTCCTGCACCAGGCGTAGTGGACGCAACTTGTTCTGCTGCATCACTGCCCCAGTATAGTTGTTCATTCCAGGGCCGGAGCGAGGAGGACTGGCTGATGCAGCGCCGCCTTCCATGGACCCAACGTCCCCGCTTCTATCGCTGGTCAAGCTTGCAGCACCGCTGAAACGACGGTCAGCACTGCGCGTGGAGATGGAGGTGCCTGTACCCCCTGGTGCAGTGGCGACAGATGAGCGCTTGGATGCCGCGCCGGGAGCGAAGAACGGGCCGTTATTTGACAGGGTTGGGCTGATACCAGGGCTGATCGGGCCAGTGGATGGGGAGCGTCCGCTTGGAGGGCCGCGATACATCTGGCTGATTACGCTTGCCGTTCCAGCTGCAGCGCCGGAATTGTCCAGCTGGTCTGATCTTGTTCGACGGTGCTGGACCGTGCGAGAGCGTCCAAGTGGGATTCTAGGAGCAGTGTCGGGGTTTTCATGAGCGGATGGGGTGGGAGGTTCTCGGGGGGATGACTGAGGAGGGGAGTGAGTAGATGTAGATTGTGTGAGTTGGCTAGGTGGTCTCTGCCTGTTGTTAGAACGGGCAGGTTGGCCGGAAACAACAGATTTGGCACGCTGAAGGAATGATTGCTGTTGCCCTGGTTCTTCGTTTTTCTCGGCAGGAGGCGGCGGAGGAAGTTCCTTGTCCTTGTTTCCGCCCTTGGGCCCTGTGTTATCAGAGTCACTCTTGTCGAGGATATGTTCGAAGCCTTCGTGCTGTAAAAGTCTGCCAATGATTCGTTCAATGTAAAGACTCAGAGCCTTGTTCTGGTCCTTGTAGCTCTTCAGCTCGCTCTCCAGCTTGCGTTTCTCGTTATCCTCACCTCCCTCGCCAACGGAATCCAGCTCGTCGGCCAGAGAAGAGCCACCGGTCCCATTTGCGTTAGCAGGAGGGTGGGCGTCGTGCATAAAGTCTCCCTTAGTGAAATCCCCATTCAGCGTCCGCTCGCTGAGCAGAAGCTGATAGCTTTCGTTGTCTTCCATTAGACGGGCGTTGGCCATGCGGGCTTCGAGGAGTTCTCGTTCTAGTTCCTGCTGACGGCCTCCTCCCAGGTTCTCCATTTCAACGATTTTGATCTGTGCTTCAGCCAGCTCGAGCCGTAGGGATTCGATGAGCTTGTCTTTTTGCAGTATCAGTTTCGAGTTGTTTCTGGATGGACTGCGTTGAAGCTGAGATGAAGATGGAGCAAATTGTCCGTTTTCTATGTCTGGAGATGAGCGGTTACGGAAACTCGCTGCGTTTCTGTCAGTCATGTAAAGGGTAAAAAAGGGGAGCCAATGTAAATGGATACTAACGAGAGCGAGATAGGTTGCGTTCGCCGTCAACTCCCATTCGAAGGTCCTTTTGGGCAATCGTCTCCTTTAACCGCTGGATGGAAGCCTCGAGCTCTTCCTCCCTCTTTGCCTGGTTCTCTTTATCTGCCATCATCGACTCACGCTCGGTCTCATGCTTTTGCTCCAAATCCCGGATTTGTCTGTGAAGCTCCTTGATTTCGTCACGCAGCGGGTTTATCTGGCCGTCTTTCTCATGTGCCTGTTCCTCGAGCCTGGTCTGCTCGCTGACTGCTTCGTCGAGCCTCATCTGCAGCACGCCGAGCTGTTTTCGATACTGGTCCGCGACAGTCTCCGCCTTCTGGACTTGCTCCTTGAGATCTTCGATCAGGGCCGTGTTGGCTGCCCGGGCTTCCTCGTCCTCGTTATTATGGGGGTAGTTCCGTGGTACGCTGCTCATGCTTAAGTTGGATCGGCCCAACCCAGCCCTCCTTGCGGCTGCGGCACGGGCTGAGACTGGACCTGGTGACCCTTTGGTCGAGGGGGAGCGGCCAACGCCATTCGTCGTCGCGCCAGGAGACTGCGAGGAGACTCTTCGCGGTCCGCCTGGGCTCGTCTGAGCATCAGTCGAGGGCGTCCTGCGGCCAGTTGGCGTAGGGGACGATGGTTTCTTGCTCGCCATGATGTTCTTGAGTTGTACCCAGTAACACGAAGCACGTCGAGATAGGTCACGTAGCGGGCCAACTCAGGCCGGTTCGAGTCTGGAGGAGCCCTGTAGCTGATTTTTAGCAGTCGAGACGAGACGGACAGAGAGTCTGCCGTGTCTGAGGCTGTGATTCTCGTGTTTATTTCTGCAGTTGCTGTATATTTTATATGTAACTATGCGGGTGCCCGTCTAGGAGGCGGCGGCTGCGCCGTGCTGCTGGATGGTGACTGGAAAGCTATGCCGCCATCTCGACTCGCTGGCTGCTCATTGCGTGGCTCGCACGTCTCTTTGTCTGTCTGCTGGTCCGCCCGTCTGTCTGTCGTCTCTGCCAGCGTGAATTTCAACGCTGCCGCTGGTCTTTTTATCCACCTCCTGGCTGCGTCTTCGTAATTAAACCCTTTGAAAATCCGAAGATTAAGCGTTTGGCCGCACCAATCAGAGACGGCACAGAGAATCACTGACTAAGCGAGGAGATGAAAAGGAGACGCCGTTGAAGCGGCTGAACTTGGCTATTTTTATATTCAAAAAAATATTCAAAGATGAAGGCAAGGACGAGGACTGAGAGGCAGACGATACTGCTGGTGCATTGGGCAGAGAAGAGAGGGCGGTGTGAAGGTGTTATGGTGAAGATGGCCCCCATAGAGGCAGTTGGCTACAAAGGTGGACTATGGCTACGACTGATAGTTATTGATGGCATAGAAATAACTAACTAATTGGATCACTATAACTACCAGTTATCAAAGCAGAAGGGATAGCCCCTCAAAGTATCATTCCTTATCGACAACCTCTCATGGTTTCCAGCCTGTCCTCCAGAAGCGTAGGGGAAACATCCTAGGTTGCATTAGGCCATAGGCCGTGGAATGCTGAAAGTCGATGATTCGTCAGATTCAGGAGTTCCAGGCGTTCCAGGAGTGCCAGAAACATTAGCAGTATTAGTGCTATCTGCAGAGGTTTCAGCGGCGGTGAACTGAGTCACTGCAGTGGCAGAGAGCTGAGCGATCCTGGGGGCGTCAGGCTGAGGATTCTCCTCAGCAGTTGCAATTGTAAGGACCTTTTCGAGCTCCTTCAAATCATTCAATGGATTGTATGGGAGGGTCTGTTTGTCTAAGGGATCATTGTTGAGAGATTCCACATCCACATGGCAATCTTGGTCTAGTGTCATCTTACCCCGGGCAATGGGGGTGTCAAGGTTGGCGAGCAGGCCCGGCCCGAAGGCAATGGGCGCATTCGGGTCCCTGAAGACCTTGACCTCAAACTCCTTGCCTGGGCGGAAGAAGAAGTGTGCGTCTTTCTTTATAACCTCGTTTTTGTCCGGACAAGGTTGCATGGTAACCTCGCGATAGTCACATAGCGTCAAGACCAGTCCTTGACAGATATTGTCGTGGACCACCTTGGCCAGCTCGGTATCAAGTTTCACGTTGCTGGCAGAGAGACATATGTTTGGCGCCTTGAGAAGAACGTGTGAGATGTGGTGCTGTTCTTTTGTTCCGTATAGGTAGAATGGCATATTGTGCTGCGGGTAGGAATGGTCCCGGTTGGCCGAGTTGAGCGGCCGACTCTTTATAATGCGAGTAGCCTTGATAGTGCAGTCAATACTCTTCATTATCCTAGTGACAGCGATGATTTAGCCAGAGTTCCTGATAGCAAGCTAAAACTGTTAGCTAAGAATAAACTTACTTGTCTTTCTGTCTTACCCCAAGGATGCCCTTGAGGGTTGGGTTTTTGCCATTTTTCACCTCCTCAACAAAGCCTTCCAGATCAAACGGGTCCTCGGATTGGAATGCTATCTCTCCGGACTGATTTTTCTTCAATTCCACATATTCCTTCATTTCATTACCGTCCAGTTTGGCCGCAAGAATAATCTGTTGACGCCGGGTAGCTTGGTGGAAGCTGGTATGATAGTCCAGGAAGATCTCATCGGTGCCTCTCATCAGGAAAACACCTTGGTATTTGCCTCGCTTGTTACGCTCCCAGACATTCTTGACTTCCTCCTCGATCACTTTCTCGAACACCTCCATCAAAGAGCAAATGAACTTTTTATGAGTGGGGAAAGGACTCATCACCACATTGCGAAGTACAAATAGGTCCTCAGCCGCTGGAGCTAGATGTAGCCGCTTCATGAAGTTCTGAGCACACTCTCCGTAAAGCTCCTCGGAGAACTGAGTTGAAGTCAGGTAAAGTGGAATCTCTCTTGGGTTTCCGGCAGAGCTGGTAATGGAAAGGCGGTGCACAATTCTCTTCATAAAGTAGTTGGCTTCTTCAAGATCATCGTTCAGAGTGCCATCCTCGCGGTACCAATTCAGAGCGAAAGCATTGATATTCAGGTCAGACCCTAGCTCACGAAGATACTTCATGTCGTCCTTGCTCTTCATGAGTTCCTCGTTGGTTTTCTCAAGTATATTTTCTTGGATGTGCTTCCTTCGCGCATTTACTTCTGGAGATAAGGAGCCATAGCCAGCATGTTCCATAGGGAGTCTGTTGAAGGGGATGCATATGTAATGCTTCTTCTTTTTGACTGGATCAGTCTCTTCTTCATAATGCATAGCTGCATAATGGGCAGACAACTAGCAAAAATTATCAGCGTCCGTCAAAAGCCCATAAACTAAGGCCAAGCCATTTATTCTTTGACTTACCCGTGCGCTCGTAAAAGCTGCTTCTCCTAGTAGTCTGCCGTAGCCGTTGCGGTCAAGGCCGATAGTTGTATTTGAGAACCAAGTAGCCATGGCGGCTGCTCCGGGTTTACTATGGGCCAAGAGATGTGAGCAACCAATTCTTATCTAGGACGAAAGCATGAGCCGTAGAATATGCGAAATAGAAACACTTACCTGCCCTCTACACCATAAACCCCAATGTTTTCCGAAGAGCCCTGGGATAGATACGGACTAGTCCATGTCACTAAGAACCTCATGCGCCCATCACGGTAGACTAAGCTGCCAGCTGGATAAGGGATGTATCCTGCTTTGTGAGGATCCACGGTAATAGAGTCTGCATCCTTGAGTGCAATCATATTCGTCAGAGTGCTTTCCTTCAGTGGAAGCGACGGAACAATCTCTATGACTTCCTTTCCGCCAGCCCCACTGCCACTCCCTGGCATCTGTGGAGCCTTGGCATCTTTAGGGATCATAGTACTGAAGTACCCTCCCCATGCAGCATCAGCATGGACTAGGAATGACAGTCCCCTCCGCTGGAAGTCCGCTCTCATATCAAGAATGGCTCTCAGCGGATCCGCAGCGCCTTCTTCAGTAGAGCCCATGATGGCTACTACTGCAAACACTGCTTGCTGTTCCCTTAGACAGCGATTGAGTTCTATCTCAAGGTCCTCAAGAGAAATATGGCCATCCAAGTCAAGCTTGATTCCGTGCATGTTCCCTGACCCAAGTCCAGCGATGGCTAGAACATGTTAGCTGTAGGCGAAAAGCAATTGAATCAAGTTAACTTACCGCCTCCTTTTGGCCATGAATAGTGTCTAGTTTTGGCGTGGAAGTACTTCATGGGCTTGTTAATACCAAAGTAGGCTTCAAGGCGGTCTTTACCGACAGTTTGAATGCTAAAGGGATTCAAAGCTCCCTCGAGATACTTAGATGTAATGCCAAATTGTTCATGTAGGCGATCAGCCAGGCCCAAGATTGTGTGAGAGCTCAGGTTGAGAAGCTCCCACGGAGTAAGGTCTTTGAACAGTTTCTCATTACCAACACAAGGGGTAACCTTGAACTTATCAGCAATGAACCAAAGCGATCCTTCTTTCATTGCCCAGGACAAGGTGAGCGGGTAAAACTTCAAGTTGCGAGCTATTAAACGGGTTAGATATGTCTTATACGCAGTGAGATTCAAATCACATACCAACCCAAATGGATTCTAAGTTCGCCACGGTGCCATCGCAAGTAATGTGTCCCCACGAAAGGGGGAGGCTCTTTTTTTTTCATCAATGTTATATCCAAACATTTCAGCCAGTTGCTTCCCAACTTCTAGCTCGATCAAGGTGGTCAACGGACTTGCTTCCACAGCGACATTGTTCGGGTTGTAGATCATAGTCATGAAGTATCCCAGAAGCCCAGGAGTTGTCAAGTCGGTACACATGTGGCCCTCATATCTTGGGGACCAGAATGGGACCGACCGTTTCCCCAAAATTTGAGAAGCTTTTTGGACAGCTTTGTTGAAGTTCAAGACAATTTGCTGGTACTGCTCCGACTTTGTGACATCTTCTGTAATGAATACCTAGTATCGTGATCATTTAGCTAGGCAAAATAAAGTATGCATGATTGCTGGTACCTCATCATTCTCAAAATATTGGTGCCTAGAATCCCGCAACTCATCTAGGATTGTTTTAATATTGATCCTAAAGCTGTCCAGATTCTCTGCCTTGGGCCCAATGAAATAGGAGCTAATGACATCGTGAGGATTGAGTTTAGTGGGAGGTGCGGACATGTTGGATCCAGGATAGCAAGATCAGTCTTGGGTAGAGGGTTGTATATTGAATTACTGTGTACAACACATATGTCGTAGAGGGAGACTCGATATTTATCCTTTTCATTGTGAACTCCTAATAATTGAGAAACAGTCCCCGCAATCTGGGTGGAACTTGATACCGCCCCAGATAGGTCGATTGTCATGAGGGGTATTTGTTGGCTTCCTCACCCGTCTTTGCGTCTGTATATGCATGGAATGCATGGTAGTTCAGCTCTCTTGGTGGATAAAGCGGGCCGTTCCTCTAGTGTCTAGTGGCGCCAGAAAGAAGGCAAAGCCCATCAACATAAGAGACGATCTTTCCATCCAGTAGGACTAACTGGGTAGCTTCCATGCGAGCAACATCCTTCACATGAAGTAAACCTTGTCCACGCTCAATATATGGGGGCAATGGCGTAAGGAAGGGTTCAATCAGTGGATATACTGTAGTATGCGGGGTATCCTATAGGCATATACAGAGTACTATCTCGATGTGATACGCCATAGGCTCGCTTGACTCAACCAGGCGGTTAGGGTATAATTAAAGCTTTCTTCTGTTTGTTGAATTGTCCGGAAGAGGGGTATCGGAGCTATTGGTATCAATCTAATAATACTGGTGATATTCGGCATTGTAGGTGACCTATGTGTACAAGATGACATGTTTGATGGTATTCAATGATCATCCTTCCGTAAAGTACCGCAGATATGTTGGCAGGCATCGCCTGATTTCCCACCTGGTCCTGTAAGGAAAAATGGAGACTCACAAGCATATTCTAGCAGGATATTGGTAGATCGGACTCCATGTACCGAGAGGGGTCCAGAGGAGATGAAGATGTAGAGGGCATAGATGGTTTGCAGCAGTGGGAGGCACCATTCAAATTTGGTAATGCGTGCATAATGCAAACCACGTCATCGCCAGGCGGGGAAAGGCCGATTCAAAATGATCGTTCTCATTTTCGTATCATTATGTACGAACAATTCTCTTCATTGCTATCGGCAAGTTGGGTTCTTTAATATAGAAGCTGTGTTGACGCAGAAGTCGAGTGGAGAACGGGAGTGGCGAAAGTTCGGCATGCATGGTCCAGGGTGCGCAGGGGATAGAATCTCCACTTCTGGCTTGGATGTTATTTTGATTTGGGCCATGAGTTTCAAACAGGTCAGATTGCCCCAATGTGTCCCGAACCAAGCAGTCATAGCCACCACTTCAGATTAGCCAAATCCCCTCCGGAGCATTGAGTCATCCAAGCAAAGCATATATTGGGAACAAATAAAAAAACTTCGCAAAATCTGTATTGTATTGGCAAAATATGCTTGCCTTTCCTCTATAACAAACCCAGTTCCCCAATAACACTTGCTTTAGAAGGATTCGAACTCACTAGGCCATCACACGCCAATCACTCATTTTCAGGGTGACAATTTGACAGAAGTCAGTAGTACCTGAAGAAGTTCCCCATAAATTATCTATATCCGTGGGTATCTTATCGATATATTCACTGGAGCTAGGTAAATAAAGGAGCGGTGAAGTAACTCTGGGTAATACGAGTAGACGAGTTAACAACGGTCCAATTGATCGACCTCCAGTTATGAATAACTCAGGAGTATAAGTGGGAGAAATGGAGTAAACCAAGGGTAAGAACGCTTTGAATCATATATGGATGAGCATCGCCTAAGAGGGGGCTAAAAAAGACCTTGAACCCTCCAAATGAAATCTCCGAAATGATCGTATAAACACGGAGGAAGAGGCATGGCGTTAAAGGGTGATCAATATCAACACCATCGAAAAGATATAAATATTATAGCCAAAATGTATTATAAGTGCATGTTTCTTTGTGTCGCTCTATATCTTATGTGATTCAAATTCTGGGAAATATTTAAACACGAGGGTAGAATCACCTACCAACTCCGCGTCAGCATTGGCCTGGGCTCGCGAATGCGGAAGGATATTCCCTATTTCAAGATGCACAACGCTAGCTCTACCAGCTTGATCCTTTCCGAATAGCCGATTTCGGTCATTGTAATCAGCGTTTCGTCGATATATTGCCTATAAAGCAAGTGGGGAATAACCGCAGAGCATTGTTCCCGCAGTCTCGGACTATTATTAGAGCCAGATTGGTGCCGAATAAAGTCTATAGGCTAGGCATGGTATGGGGTAGACGCCTGACAAAAAAAATTGTCATAAAGGAGTTCAGCAAACTTGGTTAATAGCCAGTCTGATTCTGGGTCTGGAGAGGTCTCAAAATGTCTAACTTCGTACAAGTGAAAAAATAGATAAGATATCAATCCATTGTGATGCCTGGTGTTTAAACTCAAAGTGTGTAAGACCAGGAGTTGCCAGGTATATTGGGACCAGCCTCCGTTCCCTCGGCTTCCTCAGCGTTTTGCCTTCCCGGACGCTCTTCCTGGAGGTAAATGCTCGAGAGAGGTAACGCTGATCATGCTATCCAGCGGCGACTGGCGGTGGTGACCAGCCATGGTAGGAAGTATACAGCCCAGCTGTGTCAATTGCTAGACATGTTAGTTAACTATTGACGGTATCAAACTGGCAGACCCGTATAGACCTGGCTGTTAGATTGCAGTAATCGCTGTTACGAAGAAGAGGAATTCAATAGAAAGAGTAATTAAAGAAGAAGAAGATGATGATGATAATCATGATGATGAAGAATCAGGTAGAAGTAGACAGCGAAGAGTGACGTTGGAAGTTGGAGGTTGGATAATGCCTGTTTGGGCGACGAAGTTAGGGTTTAGGGCTTGCTTGGAAATCAACCCGCTTATTAATTATTTCGGTGTGTGTGTTCGACTCTCGCCCCGAAACGGAAAAGAGAAACTTCTTTCTCTTCGCTTCTCTGCTGCGTCGAGAATATTAAAACCACCACCGGAACCTCTTCCAGTCTTGTCGTTCGCAGGAAGTGCTCGTTATACACGCTCCGAACCGATAAGATGGCGCGCCGTCCAGCAAGATGTTATCGCTACTGCAAGAACAAGGTGGGTTGAACCTTTCGAAATGCTCCCGTTATCATGCGCCCCCGCGGATTGCACTTGGAAGAAAGAGAAGGATATTAGGATATCTCGTGGATATGCGCCTGAATTCGCTGTTACAAGGGATACAGAATGGTGGAAATCGGGTTTATTTGAGATGCAACCGTGACAGCGTTTTTTGGACGGGATACCATACACGTTGAGAGGAAGGATGTGAGGCTAACTTGGACATATCTAGCCATACCCCAAGTCCCGTTTCAACCGTGGTGTCCCAGACCCTAAGATCCGAATCTTCGATCTTGGACGTAAGAAGGCCAACGTGGATGACTTCCCTCTCTGCGTCCACATGGTCTCCAACGAATATGAACAGCTGAGTGCCGAAGCCCTCGAAGCCGCCCGTATCTGCGCCAACAAGTAAGCCACCAAACCACAACCACCCCGATGACCAGCTACTATTTTACTGGCAACGATGAGACAGAAGAAAAGTACTAATATGACGGGAAACAATCAGGTACCTTGTCAAGATTGCCGGAAAGGAAGGTTTCCACCTGCGTGTCCGTGCCCATCCATTCCACGTCGTCCGTATCAACAAGATGTTGTCGTGCGCTGGTGCCGATAGATTGCAGACCGGTATGCGTGGTGCCTTCGGTAAACCCAACGGCTCCGTCGCCCGTGTCAACATCGGCCAGATTCTCCTTTCCGTCCGCACCCGTGATGCTCACCGTGCCACCGCCGTCGAGGCCCTCCGCCGTTCCATGTACAAGTTCCCTGGTCGCCAAAAGATCATCGTCTCCAAGAACTGGGGCTTCACCCCTCTTCGACGAGAGGAGTACGTCCGTCTCCGACAGGAGGGTCGTGTCAAGATCGATGGTGCTTACGTCCAGTTCTTGAGAAACAAGGGCCCAGTCGAGACCAACATGCGAAGATTCCCAGATGCTTATGAGAATGTTTCCCAGGAGGCATAGAGCATGAGTTTTCAAAAGCGGGTTTGGGTTTGAGGTTTCGATTTGTTTGCTTGTTTTGATTGAGGCAATACACAACAGTTATCTCAGAAAGGAATAAATGAATCAAATAATGACAAAAAAATGAGCATAATACTCCCTTTTCTTGCTCATATTAAGTGCCAATGGTTGCTATGTAAGATGGATACATTTCGACCAGTCGGGATATACACTGATATTGTTGGCATATGTCTACTAGATGGGCCGTTCCTAGTTGATCACAGGGATATTCTTAGCTCTCGATCATATGGTATTCATCAATATTTGAGAACTGTGTACGGTCAGCTAATATAGCATTATCTATCCAGTAATATATTGGATACAGACAAGGTATGCAATTACATGAGTGGAAAAGTCACATCATGGTACCATATGCTGCAGAACTCCTTCTGTCTTGTTAGTAACATTATGGCAAAGGATGATTTAGAGGAATAATGTGGTAATGGTATGAGTAAAGAGAGACTCCCATCTAGGTCAACTGCTCCAGTGAGATAATAATATCAGGTAAAAATAGTCGAGGCCATCACTCCAAGGTACGTCAAACCGAAAAACGCCAATATCCTCACATACACTGAGAAGTTTCACGTGGTTATGCAGGTCAATGCAGGTCGATTCGGTTAATAAAATGAACAAGTTCGAGACACCATGGCAAGTTTAGATGTCTCCCCAGCTGCCCATGCCGCCACCAACAGCTAATGGAGCACTGCTACTGCCAGCACTCCCGCCTATGTCCCAGTAATGCCTACTGGAGCCTGTTCGCTTTGTTGACACAGACTTGCGAGTACTTTGGCTCTGGCTTGCACAACTCGGACTAATGGTACCACGCATATGATGGTGGTGATGATGTTGATGGCGATAGATGCGTGAAGACTGTTGGCGGAAACGGGAGTTTGCTTCTGCACGAGCAACTAGTGGATGATGCTGACGGATGATCGCTGCACGGATAGGATCATGCTGACGCTGTCGTTGAGCTCTATGTTGTGGAGTGGTAAGCTCGATGGTATCAGAGTTATCCTGGGTGCTACTAGCGTCTCCAGTTGCCGTTGCAGCAAAACGATTACGGAGGTATCGGAACACCATCTTGATGTTTAGTTCTCGTTCCCAGTACTCACGGTCACGTTCGCGGCGTTCTGATTCCGACAAGATGTGACTAGGTTCAGCATCTCTGGGGGCAGGTACATCTTCTTCTATGCCCCAGAGTGCTGCGTGCCTGGAAGTAGCCGCGTCTTGCATCGTTGGGTGGAACGTAGGGTATGGCACTGAAGTTGTGTTTTCATGGCTGCTGTGTGATTCACGCCTGGAGGTCATGGCTGACACAGTTGGTGTTGCGGTAGGTTGAGATATAGGCATGCCAGCATATTCTGTTGATGGATCAATGTTGGTCCGCATATATGCGGTGAATGCTCCAGGGTGTTCATAGATTTGATGGACGAGAATACCGAGTTCTCGAGCAATTCGTTCGAGTAGACGTTCCTGCCACCAGCCGTCTCTTGTTGAGGAGCTCATTATGTTAGGAATTGTTTCACCCATATTGACTGAACTATCGGTGGCTAAAGTGGTGGCTCGTAGGTATCTATTGCCGGCGAAGGAGCTACCCGGCTGGTCTTGAGGTGAAGTGCTGTTGGTATCACTGTCGGTTGTATCGGAGACTAGCGACTCTCCGAATATGACGGCGAGAAGAGAGTCGTCAATTCCAATGAGACCATTGATGACTCTGCGAGTAATTCGTTGCCAGAACGATTCGTCCGAATCCGTTTCATCACTAGGAGTGGCATCAACCGTGGCATCAAGTGCTGCTTGGCTAGCAGTAAGTGATGCATCCGTCTTGGATGTGGTATCTTCAGAGACTATGGATCGAAGAGGGTGCATTGTGTCAGAGCCTTTGCTTTGTGCCCTTTGTTTTCTCTGTCTGCGTCGTCTCGTTTCCTTTTCTATCTCCTGTAACAGCACTTTGCTCTGTTCCATGCGCCACTGCTCGATTCTCTGCCATCTCTCCCTCTCCATACCAATACCCATGGGTTGAGATTCATTAGCATTGTCCAGATGCCTCCGCACGCTCGAGCTGCTCCTCTGCCGTGTTTCACCAATCCTCCTGGGATTGAACTGTTCATGCTGCCACAACTGCTCTTGCACATTCACCCCAGAAGGTGAAAACGTTCCCAGTCCATCATGAGTCGGTAGCATGGCAGGGCCTCCGCTCTGGTCCAGCTGTGGGTCTCGAAACGCCTGGAGTCCGTCATCGAGACTGTCCAGCTCCGTGACATCGTCCTCCTGCAGGCCTGTGTCCTGAAGTTGCCTTTCCTGGTCTTCTGTCTCCCCGTCATTTCCCTCGCTATAAAGCGGACCTGACGATTGAGCGGCGGTCTCCAAGGACCCAAAGTCACTCAACCGCGACAGGCCAGCTGTCCGGGGCGTTCGTTCAGTAGACGCAGTATGGCTGTGGGTTGCTGTGGACTGGGCCTCTACGGGAGAGAAGAGCACCCATTCCTGCGAGTCCTCCTCGTCTGCCCTGGCGTGTGGCTGGGGGACATTTGGCGGTGTCGTCGAAGCACGACCGGAACCTCGATACGGATGTTGTCTCTGCGGCGTCTGGTCGGGGAGACGAAATGCCATGATAGGAGCTGCCCCCGAGGACGAATATTCGTGTGTATATCACGTAGGATTCTGTGCTGTTGTGACACGGCGGTAGTGATGCGAGGGAGGCCCTTGTACTTCCGTCGAGTCCTGAGGCGTTATCGGAAGATAAGGAGCCGTCTGGTTAGCCAGCGAAGAGGCTAAACAGACCAACAACGAAAAGAAGACGCTAGGGAACAGCCGTCTCCATGCTGTCAGATAAGAATAGATCAAGATAACGGACGAACGGCGAGTGGTTCTGCGGTATCAATCAATTTATTGATCTGCTCGTCTCCATCTTGCCTTGTCGTTTGGAATCTGGAGCCGGGCGTGACGTGCATCAAGTGGCTTAATCAGCAGACTGCTTAGTCATGAGGCTACAAAAGTACGGGGAATGCTGTACCAGGGATTGTCAGGAGTACGTCCTTGATATTCTTGACAAGCTAGAAGATGGGTTCATTATAGAAGAGGATAATAAGGAGTACTGTGCAGCCAGAGAGGAATTGAAGAAAAAGCGAGGCGCAATCATCTAATCTAGTTTTCACTGCTATCTAGTATCAATTTTTGAGATCCCTCCATTTCCTCTCAAATCCAAGTGACAATCACTCCACGAAGGCCCCCTAAGCGTAGTCCAGTAACCACCACATGCCATAGCGTTCTGGTGAAATAGAGTCAGATAGAAACAAGTACCAGTCATCATCCGTAGAAAAACTGAGACCGTTTGTTGTGCTCCTAATCAACTCGTAATACTCAGGATAGAACCCACTATATTCCCAATCGAGAAGACCAGTAACTTGGAATTGGTAGTCATTACTGGGTTCTATAGTAATATTATCTGGTCGTAGGTCACCATGTGTAAACGCAGATCGAATTTCTAATTGCTGGGGTGCGGTATAGCGTTGACGGAGCCGGTTAATAAACTCTATAAAAATAGAAGTGCGTAAAGAGAGGAAGAGAAAACTCTTGAAATCTTCAATAGTCAGAATAGGGTTAGTACTACGGCGGAGATGTCTCCTAATATCTTTACGGCCTTCACCACAAACCCCTCCAGAAGGCGTCCCAGTAGGATGTGAAAGAGACTTTAGATCGGTTAGGATTTGGTTGAGCTGATCTTGGATGGACCTTTTCTGTGATATATCCAGTCCTGCCCAGATATCTGCCAGTGTTGTTGTGGAGGTGTAGGTCATAAAAATTAAAGAGACACCGTTCAATCGCAATAATCCAGATGGCCTTGGAGCAGGAACAGTCTGCTTGTGCACTTCCAGGTACTGTAGTGTTGTATATTCAGTGTAGCCCAGCGCGTTTTTTTATTGCTTTGGTGGCGATATTCTATTGCATTTGAACACCATTTTCTTTCGAGGAAATGGGCTTTTCCACAGAATTTCACAGCGCCGCATAAACCCTACTAGCGCCTCGGGCATGTCTGCATCCTCCAGCAGACTTCGGACTGAGTCAACCAAGGGAAATATAATTGCGGTGGGTTCGGAAGGCCGTAGAAATACGCGGATATCTTCTTCAGTAACTGATCCTGACGTTGTTGCAGCAGAAATAGGGGGTGTTACTGGCAGGGACGTTAGAGAAGACAGGCTCTAATAGCGGAGAGAATCTTATCTCGTTGGAGGGAGTAACGGAGTCCGCATTTCAGCTAGACACCTGGAGTAATCCTTCGGGAAGTACGATAACAGTGTCAATTTCCGGGTCCGCTTTAACGTGTGGATGTTGAATCGTGCTGCTTTTGACTCTCTTGAGCCTGCGCCACCCGGCTCCTCGAGCCTCTTTCTTTCCGACATTGCTGGGCCAGAAACCACGAAAGAGAATCTTGACCTGAAAGAAGGTGAGATGCTGATGAAGCGTGATGTGGTTTTGCCCCTGGTTGGAGGTCATCTAACTACAAGCTCTAGCGTTGATTTGATTGGTTAGTGTTAGTTAGTGTACACGTAATCACCTATTTTGTACCAGGGACTATCAGAAGAAACGATTAACCATTCAGACATCTAGATCTATACAAGAGTTGTTACTGGAGCATATATCACGTACGACTCGCCATATGGTCGACGGCGATGAAGGAAAACGTCATGGCAGGCGCAATAGTAGCGCCAGCGCCAGAATACGTTCTGCCCATGACGCTCGCGCTGGTGTTGCCCGCAGCGTAGAGCCGTTCAATGGGCTTCCCGTCACTGTCTCTAAGCACCCTCGCAAACTCATCTGTGAGCAGTCCTCCCTTGGTGCCCAAATCGCCTGGGTAAATCCGGGCTGCATAGAACGGCGGCTTCTCAATCGGCCCCAAACTAGGATTGGGTCCGATCTTGGGATCTCCAAAATACCTGTCGAACGCAGAAACGCCCCGGTGAAAATCTTCATCGACTCCTGCTCTCGCCATCTTATTAAAGCGAGACAGTGTCTTCTCAAGTCCGGCAGCATCAACGTCAATCTGCCGCGCTAGATCTTGGATGGTATCGGCTTTGAACAAGTGTCCGGATTCGAGACCGTTCTTTGGATCAGGCTGTAAAGGGAGCAGGCCACCGATGTTATATCGCTTGCGGAACGAGTGGTCAACGATCAGCCATGCTGGGATAGCGTTTACGCTCTGGTGCCGTTCGTACTGATGGTGGCCGGCATCTGTATACGGTTCAGCTTCGTTCATAAATCTAGACCCGGATGAATCGACAATGATACTGAACGGCCGGGCTCGTTCGGTCAGGGCGAAGACGTTCATCCCATTCACCGGACAGACGACGGTTGGCCCCCACCAGGCATCGTCCAGCAGAGCAGTGCCAGCACCGACCTTCATGGCCGCAGTAATTGCGTCTCCTGTATCCCCTGGGGGAGCACTCGTCCATTCAACGCTGGCCGGTGAAGGACCCCATTTCTCCCTGAGCTTCTTATTGTGAGCAAAGCCTCCTGCGGCGAGAAGGACTCCACGAGAGGCACGGATGGTTTTCTGGCCACCTTCTAGTTTGACCGTGGCCCCAACAACCGTGGACCCGTCCATGATCAAGTCAACCAGGGCAGTTTTGCGTTGTATCGAGGTGCCAGCTTGCTTGTGGAGGTAGAGCAGCTGGGACACCAGTGCCTGGCCCATCGCTGAGGGAGCCTGTCCAAGAAGGGTGAGCAGGGCCTGGCGCAGAAGAATCTTAAGCAGGGCATTAAAATCACTCCATGAAGCCCCCGATCTGAGGGCGCAGTTGCTCTCCGTCACGTATGCAGCAATAGGGGGTCCAGGGCGTTTTCGAACCAGACTCCTCCAGGAACCCAGCTTCTTCATATTGAAAATCTTTGGCTCCAAGGTCCGTCCAAACATTGAACCGCCTGGGATGTCCGGGAAGTAATCAGGACATCCTCCTTTTCCCAGACGCCATTGGAACCCGGCCTTCTCCAGGAACTCCACCAATCGAGGCCCGTTGTCAAGAAATGCAACTTTTCGCTCTCTAGACGACACAGGGCCAACGTCTCCAATAGTTGCTTCGAGGTATTTCAGGGCATCTTCCTTGCTATCCTTTACGCCGGCGGCTTGAGATAGATGGGTATTTGGAATCCACATGGCACCACCGGAGTAGGCGGATGTCCCTCCTATGGCCTCATCTTTCTCGACCACCAGGGCCCGAAGTCCGTGAGACTGTGCTCGCAGAGCAGCAGTTAACCCTCCAGCGCCGCTTCCTATCACCAAAACATCCGTCTCTTCGTCGAATGTTGCTGGCACACTAGTTGTTGTAGCGGTACGTCTGCCTCGTAGAACCAGATGGCGTGATAAACAACAACCTGGTCGACCAACCCCTGAGAGACCTCTGTATGTTCTGTATGTGTATCGAGAGATCATGACTGCATATCCTTGGGATTGTCAAAAAGCCAGTCGAAATGCCCTGAAGGGCACGTCAGAGGCATCCTCGCTGATATAGCGCCCAGCGAACGACTGTGCATCTTGCATGGCTCCACGGAGCTATCCCGAGTATAGTTATTCCTCGAACTTGTCGTAATGACAGGGGAGCTCCCCCATGTCCGTCTACTTAAGCTGACTTTTAGGCAGCGTGGCACTGGAGTGTGTCTTTGCTGCAGTGTCCCGACTAGGGTTCAACCCCCGGGGATACGAGATTGGCAGCGAAGACGCAGGTAATTTTGGGTAATTTTGGAGGATCAGAGTCTCCATCAGGCGAACTTTGCCATGCTGTCGGTAGTTAGCCGGTTGTTCATTGGGCCGCCGCGCAAAGAGACATTTGGATTCTCCCACCAACATCGAGATTGACAATGCAATGGCCGGCTGTGAGGTTCATGAACCTGTATTCCGTAGTTAGTTAACTACGGAGCAGTGGAAAGACGGAAGCACCAGTTACACCACATTCCGGCCTGGCGAACTCCCTCGCTATCCAGTCAATATCGAATCCTTCAGAGGCAAGAATAATGGCATTCTCTGCTGCATGTTGCCGCTCTGTAAAACAACTTAACGAACCAAGCATCTAGCCGTTCACGAAGTGATACTCCTTGAAGGGATCTCGCGTCAGCACTATGAACTCCTTGATAAGTCAACGGAGTCCCCGACGAGTTGTCCCACAGCGTACTCCACGGAACTAGCTTGTAATCCGGTTGAATGTCTTTCCCTCTCATCCGAAACGTAGAAACCCGAAAGTTGCGGGAGGTGGAACTCGCAAGGGCAGAGCTTGTTTGAATCTCGAGAATCCGCCGTCGTTAACAAACGTCTGAAGGATTCGACGTGTTTACTTCCCCTACATATTTGCCCCATTTTCAGTCATCATGGTTGCCAATATTAGATCTTATCGAGCTGGCTCGTTCTTTGCGATAACTTATAACTAACTAGCCAAGTTAGTTATTCAGGGGTAGACAACGCCAGCGGAAATAGAACTGACATCTCCCAGTCTTCGTCTCCGCCGCAGACTCTGATCTTGACAGCAGACAGCCATAGAGGGATTGCCTCGCATACACTCGTATACCTAGGCCTGAACCCACATCGAAGAGCTCCCACTGCGGCCGCTGCGGCTGGTAAAACCCCTTAACTAGCCACATAATAACTAGCTGAGCCGCAAGCTGGAATTTTCAGGCTCCAGGAATTCTCCATTATGAAGCTAGAGGCAGAACAGGAGGCCATGGTCAAGCCAGATAGACGAGTCTCGATCCGTAACGGGTCAATAGGCGAGATTATCGGTGCCATTCGTTTCAGAGGGCAAAGGCCGGCACACTGTTCAGTGTGAACGTGGCTGAACAGACACAAATCAACCTGCTTCATCGCTTCGAGCAGACTCGCACTAGTTAGTTATGAGCTTGTCTTTCCCGTATCGAATCCGTGGCACGGTTAACCATGCTGTCGATGGATGTCTTCTTCAGCTGGAGCTTCTGCTGCCTGGCCGGGTGTAAAACATTGAATGGTGCCTGCTGGGATGCAGGTCAAGCCACCACTCTTCTCAGAACCTCCATCTCCCTGTTCCAATCAGTGCTGGAGCAGGCAGAGGGAATAGCCAGGCCTAGGCAGATACATACTTGCTGCAGGGGCCTGGAGGCAGTGCTTGTCTTTGTTTTCTCTTTGGTTACTCAACCTGGCTGCTGGATATAAATCTGCCTGCTTGCTGCGCCCGGTGCAGACTCACACAAAGGGGCCAGCAAGGCACCTAGCAGCTCTTTTGCATGCATAAAACCACAGCAGACTCACCGTTCTGTCCTTTGAAAGTCTCTGCCACTAGAATCCTTTTGTTTCCAATTGTTTCTTCAGCTTTCTTTCACTTTGTACTGTCTCCTGTTGTAGGCAGCTGAGAATTACAAGCAAAATATCATCAACCAAACAGCCAGCAACCAAACCCCCCCCCTAGCAGCTGTAACTATCCACAGTCTCAGCATGGGACTCAACGTCTCCGAGGCCATCTGGAGATGGAGATGCAGGACGTTTGGAACTGGCGACAAGATCAAGCCTCGCTCACAGACTCGAAACACCGCGAATGCCCCCGAGGAGAACGTCCAGGGAGCAGACGCGCTTATCAAAATCCTCTATGAGGCCAAAGACAGCCGCGAGGACAACCGGAGATGGGTAGATTACCCCCCTAAGCAGCTCAGCAAGAGTGTGTCCAAGGCTCAGGATCGAGCAGCCATCAAAGTGTACAAGATCGTGGACCCAGACAAGCCCGTTATCAGTGGTCGTCCTACGCTGAAGTACTTCAAGATTACCGTCCAGAGTCCCCTCCTAGTTGCTGCACTTAAGGACATCGTTGAGAAAGATGAAATATACCTCGAAAAGACAGAGGCAGCAGAGTTCACCACCCCCTTTGCGCCACTCTACTTCAATGCAGACGAGATTGCGGCACTGCTCAAGGATGCAGGCAAAGATACCCCTTTCCGCGAACATCTCGAACTCCTCCTGACCCTGATGGATGACATGTTTGCTGAAACTCGAAGTCGTATCCAGCCGCTACAGGCCAGTGGCCTTGCCTCGTTCAACCTGCTCTGGGCTTATTTTCCGACTGGTTCCCCAGTATATATCTGGGAAGGAGATTGCGAGTTCCTGGGCAAAGTTATCAATACCGAAATTATCAAGTGCAATTCGCGACAAATAATGCGCCTACGTTGCAAGATCATGAAGTTTGACGGTCAAGATTACGTCTGGGACGAGTATAAGGGTGTGATCTGTGCCTTTGAGGGGAATATCCCCATCACAGATTTGCCCTTTTACCCACTCAATTTCCATGACGATCCAGAGGCTGTCAAGTCGCGCCTGATAAAGCGAGCGAGAAAGTCGCTCGACTATCAGAGGCTTTCTTATGGTTCTTACACTGGTGTGGCTCTCTATAAGAGCAAAGACGGGATGATAAAACACAATGTATGGCTTCTACCAGTTTTGAACCTTCCAGGGAATACATATGGCTTGCTAACCAAACTTGTCTAGGTGGATGGTAGGATTCTGATTGATGTTTTGGGATACAATAAGCACCATGAAGCTCAACGAAACCCTGAAAACGGAGTTGAGAATCCAATTAAACGCAAAACGCGTATTCTCCCAACAGATAAGGACCCCGAGACTGAGAAGTTCATGTTACATATAACTGGGCCGAACAACGCCAGCCTTACCGGTGGAGTTAAACCGAGGACAACAAAGCACATTTCAATAGAAGATCAGGAAAGGAACAAAAAAGGCATCCTTGGTCTAGGAGATGAGATGATGTACATGTGTCCGTTTCTCGAGGGCTTCGCCCTGAAAAATAAGGAGTGGCGTAAGTGTGCCGTTTATCTGAAGGATATTCATAGTGCTAACGGGTACAGTCAACTTTTATGTCGAGGATATTGAACAGGTCAAATGGAATGACGAGGCTTATGATCACTTGGTATATGACGAGCAGCAGAAGGACCTGATACTATCCTTCGTTGAACACCACTATAGTTCGATGAAGATGTCGGATGATGTCATAACTGGGAAAGGTCAGTCAGTTGTGGAATTGCAGGTATAACTAATGTGATGTCTAACTCTGCCCAGGTCAAGGATTGAATATTCTCCTCTCCGGGCCTCCTGGCACAGGAAAGACTCTCACTGCCGAAGCAGGTAAGAAAGACACGAACTCCTGGAAGCGAGGACATCCTGCTAACAAAATAATTTAGTTGCTGACAGATGCCGCAAACCTTTATTTTACCTCCAGGCTGAAGACCTGGGCATTCAGGCGGCAGAGCTCGGAAATAACATCAAAAAGGTATTCGAGCTGGCCCTAGAATGGAACGCTGTCATCCTCCTTGACGAAGCAGACGTCTTCATGGCAGAGCGTAACCCAAACGACATCCACCGCAATGAACTCGTATCCATCTTCCTCCGCGAACTCGAGTATTACCGCGGTGTCATCTTCCTGACCACTAACCTCTACGATACCATTGACACGGCCTTCAGATCTCGCATAAACCTCCACCTGTTGTTCAAATCGCTATCCCCGTCCGCTAGGCTCCAGGTTTGGACCAAGTTCCTGAGCCGGTTGCCTCCTTTACCTGCCACGGCAGGCCGCAAGGAAGAGAAGAGCGCCCTGGGTGATTTGAACGAGGAAGACTTGAAAGAGCTTTCCATGTGGCAGCTGAATGGACGTGAGATCAAGAATGCGGTCAAGATGGTGAAGTCATGGTGCGACCAGAAGGGCTATGACATGACTCTTTCACGCATGGAGAGTGGTATCAAAGTCTCCGCTCCCCAGGCCACAAAACGAGATTTCACTAAACCGATGGATTTGTATGATTGAATTGCTTGTCAGTGGTTGGTTCCTTTAACTACATAACTACCCCTGACCCGTTCCACCATTTGGTTCAAGCACAGTTAGAACACAGCTCAGGGAAGCCTCGTTAACCATCGATGAATTGAATTATTAAACATCTTCTCGCCCGAAATCTCATCTGAATCCCATCTTATCAATAGTACTCCGTAACATGCATATCAAATAAATGTTGTCTACCTCGGCGTCGTTGTCGATAATATAGCACACGCACACGCCCTATTTTACACACTCCCCACGGGACAGGGATTGTGCCGAGGTCCGGCACATGCAAACTAAAAATAAACTCAACGTTCGGCGTTTCAAGCTTTTTTATATCTAAAGAAGAACCCCAGGATGTTCGAACAGACAAGTTCAAGTCGGGGTATTATCTTTCAATATAATATATATATATATTATCTTCTCCATATAATAGCTGCCATCTTGATATTCGGCCGTTGACATTGACATCGATCATGGACACGGTCTATCCTAAGATTGAAGCCGGCTGGGCCTCTCTCGTCTCAAGCTACTCTCCCACAACGATAGAATTTGTCGGAACCTCTCTCGTCCAGCTGGTGGCCTTCTGGATACCATCAGC